TTATTAAGGATATCTAGAAGAACTCTAAGATATAACTCCTTGACCAATGCATATTTCGGGGTTAAAACGTACGTACGGGATCCAGACCGGATATCACCCACCCGACAAATCATTGTTCGGTTGGTACGTAATCCACATGACCCATAGGGTGGATTATCGATTCTTGTGTTCTGCATTAAACTATTTATAGTTTAAGGACCTGGTTAGAAATGTTGTCTTAGACTAGGAATAGCTAAGAGTTTGTTATAAAATGATTTGGCCTTAGATTAAGAATAATTTAAGAGCATGGTTGAGATATTGAATATCAAATGACTTGGAATAAAATATTGAGAATATCATGAATGTTTGAATCATATATTGTGTGCATGATATCAAATGGTTGATTATGAATTGAGATTCAATTTATTTGGATGTTCGTCGCTTTAGATATGCTTACTCAGCTTCACCGCTGAGCGTGTAGTGTGTTTTATTTGCTACACGCAGGTTGATAGAATGAACGATTGGCTGATTCCTGGCAGCAGAAGGGGCGAGACAGTCGATGTGGATCATTGAACAAAATAAATAATTATGTTGTTATGAGACATGTTTAAAAGTCGCTTCCGCATTATTATTATTAAACACTCCGTATTTTCTACAATTATGTATGGAATATTATTTATAAATAAAAATGTTTGAAAAGTTTTAAATTATCACGATTACCAAATCAATACTTTAGTCCAAAAGGGGCTGCAGACCTGGACGGATTAGGGTGTTACAGCGTAAGCCTCAAAATACCAACATGAGGCTTAAATCCATCGCCTTTAACACTCCCACTTCAAGGCATACCCCCTTAAACGCCTTAGAAAACCATGAGAACGAGTTCAGGATTCCGTTTTTTAGTATCAGGTGACAAGTATTGTATCAAACATAGAGTATATAAATTGCTCCAACTTATGGGCAAGCTTAAAGAGAGTAGAAATTTGAAATCTAGTTTAGAAACCCTGGGCTTTATAAGCTTAGGCCCATTATATTGTTCTTTATATATGCAGTGTACTACTAATAGGAGAGTAACAAGCATCCCTGTTGTATGAGAATTGAAACTACGCCATATGTACATTCACAAGAAAACAAATGATCTGCAATGGATGGAACTTCAAATACAAACCAGTATTCCCAACAATGCAAAAACTTTCTGAATCCTTAGTGGTAGCTTATTTAATTCAATATCAACAAGGATGCTCCTATTAGCTATGCTTCTCTGAATCTCGTCATATATTCTCTCAACCCTGCAATGGCACATGTAGAGAGATGAATCTTTCTGACCAAATAACTTGCAAGCCACAAATATTTTCCTTAAGGCATCAACTTACCACTTCTTACCCTCAGTATCCAACACAGATGTGAGGACTAACTTGAGGGTATAATAACACTCTTGAACAGCATATTTCATGTAATCGTCCCTTAAAATTCTGTCCCATAGCTCCTCTTGCAAAAGTCTGGACTCTTTACCCTCAATAGAAGTATCTTTAGCAAGAAATATCTCTGCAAGAGGCAAAAGACATACATACAAGGAAGAGAAATAACAATATGTGCATACTTAACTAGCATAGAAACAAAACAAGTATTATAATTTCTGATAGCAACCTTGCTTGCTAGAAGGAATGCCATGGCCATTTTTAGAGAAGATGAATGTGTGTCTATTATCCCTGAATAAAATGCCATGGCCATTTTTAGAGAAGATGAATGTGTGTCTAGTGAGCTTTAGTGAGCAGTCAATGAATAAGATCTGATAACAGAAAATGCCATGGCCACAAGTAAAACTCACAAACTATTAATGTAGTCTTCTTCCCTCAAATTCCTTATAATCTCATTCTAAAAAGGAGCAAACTTAGCAGCATCAACTTTGTTTCTCTCTAGTTCCTATTAATTGAACAGTATCATTTAATAATCAATTTAATCAAAATCAAATATAAGAAAGCAACTACTCCCACTGAATACAATGATATAACGTCCTTGCTATTTTCACATGTCTTACAAGACAATTGTACATCATAATATCAAAACTCTTCAATGAACAACTTAATAATACAAATATGCAATCTATACATGTGTAAAGACAGCATAATTGGAACTGCATGTACCCAATGTTGTAATACTGTGTATCAATCAAAACTTTTAGACTACTGCGTATCTTCCTAGAGAATGAACATTAGTGGATGGGGAGTAGTATCAATCAAAACTTTTAGACTACTGCGTCCAATAAGCTATCTATATATTAACAATTTTCAAAAAAATTTCAAAAAAAGAAAGAGTATTCTTAAAGAAAGCATTTATTGAACATATTAACAATTTTCAAAAAATTTAAAAGCTCTAGGAGCTACAATATACTGGGGGCTAACGCAAGTGCTAAGATTTTTAGAATAGAGTATTCTTAAAGAAAGCATCAAATAAATGCAAAACATGAAAACCAATGGAAAAAACTCCTAAAAAGAAAAATAATAAATGTAAAGTAAACCGATAATAGGACACACACACACACACACATATAAAAGCAAGAAAATGCATCTATATCGTCCATGTGACTCTTAAGTACCTAAAATGAAAAGTAAACATCACTCTTAACTTGTTAAGGCAATATAGGTAAATCTTTTGGTCCACAAACAAACTGATTTATCAAATTAGCCAAAATATCGCAATGACATTACAGAAGTGTAAGTAAAAATAACTCACAAAACCAGATGAACGCATGGATTCCTTGCAATATAGATTTTGGATTTAGATATAGCAAATATGTTTTAAGTAAACTGATTGGAGAATAGAGAACCAACTGATAACAACAAGACAACAAGATGAATGCACCTAATGCCAAGGGAAACATGAAGGGTATCCATAAAAGCAGCAAGAAATCTCTCAAAAAGTTTTTGAACAGCATCCAAAGATCGAATCTGAAAATCAAAATGTCAATACTGAGTTTTGAAGATTAAAATAAGGATATTGACTAACAAAACACTACAATCATTTTAGTGATAAAATGCATGCCTCTCCAAGACGTTCCTTTGCCCCAATAGGAAACCACAGATAGAAGATATAATAGTGTAAAATAGATGAGTATCTAGGAGGTAGATCTGCATAACAAGTAACAAATGAACTCGTTGAAAATGAGAAGACCTTTAATAAAGATTAAAGAACCATATGCTCCTATAATTACCACATAAATTTCTTATATACTGTGATGGCACCTATAATCCTATAAATGGCATGTGTTAAAATAAAATAATAATCTACTAAACAAAAGATAAATGTTGCAATTACGAAAAGCACTGGAGAAGATTGTGTTCAGCATGTCTGGTTAAAGGTTCATTTAAAAGAAGTGTGTCTTCTAGTTAAGGGTTCACGTAAAAGCCTTCAAGGTAAATATGAAGGTGTGAGTAAAGGCGGTCATCATATTGTCACTGAAGATTGCCACTATAGGAAATTAAGGTATGATGCAGAGTCATTGATGCTACAGTGGCATTTTGGAACACGGGCATGGGAGCAGGGGGTGTTTGTAACTATAATCTGTATATCCATGGGAAAGTGCGGATTTGAGGTCGGTTGTTCTATTTTAATATGCGAGTTTGTATAGTATTGAAAACCACCAAATTTGTAAGAAAACCACCACACACCACAACCTGTATTCTAAGACATATTTTTAAAAGACCAAATGACTACAAAAAATCAGATGAGAGATTTGAAAATTAAATACAAAATTTTATTAAGAAAAGGCCTAAGTTACTAGGACTAAATAAAAGTCGAACAGTCTAATGCATACAGATCCATGCCCAAGAATGGAACTTTACATATGAATTGTAAGATAACTAGAAGAGATTCAGATTTGAGACTATTTTAGATTTGAGACTATTGTATTTCATAGCCCTACATAAAATGTGGTCACTTTACGTCAAAGAAAGATGATAAAAAAACATATGTGAAACCAAGTTCCACAAGAAGTCGCACGGTTCGCACCTAATAAACTGAACATCAAATTTTCAGCTAAGATACCTTTTCCCAAAACTTCAAAATTGGCCTTTTTCACATCATAAGAATCCAAATAAAATTAAACTGAATGCATTACGAAATTGTTCAAGCATTTTGTGCAAAAAAAAACCTAGTCCAGGGAGCACAGTGACTTTGTGAGGTGTAACAAGACTACAGTGAAAGTTATTGTCGATTGCCAATGGAGCTGAAAGAGTCATCTATAATTTTTGCCACTAATACTACGTGATATGGGCATGCAATCTATGGAGGAAGAACTCTGACCAAGGGTTTCATGAAAAAAACTCACACACGCAACAAAGATCCAATTGGATCCGGGAAAGAAGAAACAAATCTGTTTAATTCTTCATTTCAGAATATCATTAATACTTATTGCCTTCTTATATAGAGGCTTACATTCCTAATTTTTTTTTTAAAAAAAAATCACAGAATCTTACCAAATAACTACTTGCTAAATAAAAGTCCTGACAAATAATCAATTGTGACCAAAATAGGAAACCAAATACTAGTAGGAGACTACAACTAATATCAATAAGAAATCACTTATGATACTAGTAAACTAGGACTACTACTAATAATAATTACAACAACAACAACAGCCCAGTTGAATCCCACTACAGTAGGGTAATTACAATACTTATTAATAATAATTCTAAGATAAATTGATAATATTGATAAATTGATAATAATTCTAGTAAACTAGGACTACTACTAAATAATAATAATAATTCTAAGAATAATTCAAGAACAAAAACTCGCACACACAAAAAGCTGATCATCTATAGGAAGGAAGGAAGGAAGAAATTTTTGTAACTCACCCACCCCCACCCCCCATTCTGCTGCTGCTGCACA